GGTGGATTCGCGAGTATGACCCCACAGTAGTGCTTTCTGTTCTCCCCACTGCTCCAATCTCATCCCCACCTGGAGGGCAATTTGGCAGTATTTACCAAAATTACAAATGCATGTACTTTTTGTGCCAGCCACTCCACTTTGGAGACTTTATTCTAGATATACTTGCACTCGTGTGAAATGACATATGACCAGGTTTTCACTGCAATGTGGTTTGTATTAATAAAAGGTTGGAAACAAATGTGTCTCAATAGGTAAATTGTTTGTAATCCATCCACACAACGGAAAATGTGCAGCTATAAAAAGGAATCCGGAAACTCTTCATGAGTAATAACAGAAAGTTCTCTAAGATAGACTGCCAGAGAAAAAAAAGCAAGGTACAGAAATGTGTATATAGTATGCTAATTTTTAAAGAAATGTAAAGAATAGGATATACATATATATCCTATTATATATATGTATATCTATAATTTGCTTATATTTGCATAAAGAAACTGTAAGGATAAAAAGAAAAGTCATGAGTGGTTACTGAAGGGGGTAAGGCAGAAACTGGGCACATGGTTACAGAAATGGGAGGGATATTTCACTGTACACCTTTCTGTGGATTTTAAGCATGTGAATGTATTAGAAAACTACATTTAAATACTAGTCAATAACAGAGAAAGAGAAAGAGAGAGGAGAGAAAGAGAGAGTGGGGAAGCCCTGTTGGTCCCTTTCCTCTCTGCAGGCCTCATTTGTGCTTTTCGCCTTGCAGGGCTTTCTTTTGGTTATCCCTGTGGCTGCAGGACTTCCAGTGGTTAAGGGAGACATACACACATCTTTTTTTAGACTTCTGTGTAGAGAGACCTATTATTGGCATCTAGGTTAAATCTTTTTCTTCAGATTCTACGTAGACAAAGGCTGAGAGGTGAGGGGGAGGAGAGAGAAAGGTGCTTTTTACTTCTCCTTTTTCCCTGCTCGGCTGCTGGCGCTGAAGCAGTGTGTGTTTGCTGTGGAAACAGGAGCTTGCAGGAGAAGCCGGGAATCTGGCTTCTGTTGCTGCAGTTGGCCAGCGGGGAGATAAAACCAGCTGGGAACTACAGGCAACACTGTCTGAAAGGCAAATAGGTGAGAAATTCCAGGCACTGTGAGAGAAAAGGACAGGACCTCCCTAGGCTTCTTGCCTAGTGGGTACAGGTCATCTGTGCTGCACTGCTGGGTTTCAGACTTGAGTCTTACTGGTCTGCAGTAGCCATTCCAAGGGCTGGTCACCAAAACTCCCAACTACATCCTAAGAACCTTCCCACCACTCAAGGTTTCTTTTAGCCCATGAACTCTCATCTCTCTAGTCTAGGGTTAAGTGCACCTCCAAAACCAAAGTACAGCTCTCTGCTTCCTGTTCCTCTCCCAGAAGCAGTTCACAGAACTGGGGCAGGCAAGGCTATATGCAAAGCACGCCCTCGTGTTCTCCCTGCTCATAGAATAGTAGTGCTAGGTAGGTTCTCTTTCCTTTTTCATCATGCTCATCTTTGATCCCAAGAACGTCAAGCTCACAATGGGAAAGCTTGGGCCATCTGGCAGGTGCTTCACTAAACTTTAAAAGCAGTTTGATACCCTGGAGATCAGAAATGGGAGAGAGCTCTAGTTGATCAGCAGAAGAGCCAGCAGGATATGGTGGGCATAGTGGTCCCATCCTCCCATTCTCTAAGCCAAAAGTTCAAAGGAAAAAAGGAAGTAGGATTGGGCCTCACTTTAACCAGGATGCTACAAAAATTATGCCTACTCTTTTTACCACTAGAGGGTATAGTAAACCTACACGCATTTGGGGCCACAGAAAATGATGAATAACAAAGTAATGCCAGAAAGGAGGACTACTCAGCTCACAGTTCCCCCTTGTTTGTGGTGTGCCCCCAGTACCCAGGAGGGAGTCCCCAACACAGCCATAAGTTTCCTCTCTGACCTGCCTCGCTGGCAGCAGGCTCAGGATGTCTGCAAATCCTGAGGCCGAGGTTCCACAGTGGCACTGGTCTCTGCCCTTCCTAAGACTTAGTTGTTAATTTTTCTTGGATTTTGAAATGGATCCTGGTATCTTTCTAATACCTTGCCCCGTCCCCCAAGTCTTTTGCTCCCTGCTTAAAAAGTCAGAGTCAGAACAAAACATTTGGAATTTATCTAGTTTTTAGAGGTTTGGGGGTAATGAAGCGACAGTGATGATGATGATGATGCGCCACACGCAGTCCAAAGGAACATAATTTCTCTCCCGAACCACTGCAGCCACCCGCTTCGGATATCCACCGCGTCTACTCTTGTTTTACTCTATTTTCTGCAAAGTGGACACTGACATTTTAAACACATCAGTCACTCCTCCAATTAAAATTCTTCAGTGGCTTTCCAATGTTCTTAGAATAAAATCTAAAACCTTTGGTGCCCAGTTTTCTTAGAATAAAATCTGAAATTCTTAGTGAGTCCTTCTTGTAGTGCCCTGCCCAAACTCCTCCCATCTTAGGACCATCATAAATGCTAGTCCCAGGCCAGAGCCCTTTTCTCCCTCCCCTGAGCCTTGTTTTTTTGGATCTTGGTTGAAGTATCACCTTCTCAGGGGTCTTACTTGTCTCCAATCTAAATTAGGGGCCCTCGTTATTTATTATTTTAATAGCACCTACTCTTTTCCTTCATAGCTCTTATTACTGCTTATAATTACATGTTCATTGTGGTGACTTTGGGCAATGTCTGTCTCCCCCACAAGACTCTTGAGTGCTTTAAGGGGTGGAGACTATCTTTATTTTGCTCCCTGATATGGCCCCAGAGCCTAGCACAGAAACTAGCATATAGTAGGTACCCAAATACTGATGGATGATTAAATAGGAAGAGACTAGAATGGCTGGAGATGGTTGAGATTTAAGATAAGAATTTGTGTGTTAGTGGTAGAAAAGGAATGAGACCGATTTATTTTAAAGAGTAAAATCAACGGGACTTGATGACAGGGTTGGGGAAGGAGAAAATGCCTTTGTAGCTGAACATGCCACCTGACTCAGAGAGGAAGGAGTGAAAAAAAAAACCCTAAATTTTCAGACCAGGGTGACTAATGGTTAGTTTGGGGAAATGCGATATTGATGTTGGTTTTAGGCATACTGGCTGGAGATAACCAAGGGACATCGAAGGGAAAATGTTCAGAAAGTTGCAGGGTAGAGCTGGAGCTCCAGTGGGCCAGAGGCATGAAAGAGAAACTCAAGAGCCTGTTGTTCACAGAAGCGGGAACCGAAGCATCCAAGACAATTTGAGTGTTGTGGAGAGGAAGATTCACCTCGCTTTAAGTGACAGTTACATCAAGGGGATGGGTAGAGGCACACCCCATGCATTGGAAAGGATTATGTGCCACAAAGTCTTTCATACACAAAGAAACAGAAATCTAGAGAGGTGAAGTGATCTGCTCAAGGTCACACAGCACGTCAGTGACGAGGTATTCCAACCTGCTTTTCCTGACTTGTAAGGTCCAGTTTTCTTTGCATTATAACACAGAGACTTCCTATATTTTCAGACATGCCTGCTTTACAGTGGACACTCAATACCATTTCCTGATAGTCAAGGCAGGCAAATAAAAGGCAGAATTTCATTTCCTTAGTTTATTAAAGATGACAATGAACTGTTAGGCTGTGTATGAATTACAGCAAATAGAAACCCAGTTCAGAACATGAGTTGTACACACACAAGAACACTTCCATTTAGGCTCTCGCTCCTTTTATGTTAATTCAACCAAAGCTCTAAAGCCTTGGCAGAGAAAGTCACTAACAGCCTCATTTAAGTGGAAATATTTGCCTTCCATTCTTCTGCTGTGTCTTAAATTTTGTCTCACCTTGGAAGCAATTTTTTTCCCCTGTATTTATAGAAAAGAACACTTCTTCCCTCCCATTTCATTCAGAAGGAACTATCTTCAGTGCATTCAAAGCTTCTCCCTACAACAACAGGAATTCTCAGATACTGATAAGCTGCAAAGTGCTTTCAAAACATCCCATTCCCTTTCCTCTCTCCCCCTATAAATAAATAAATGGGTATTTGGACAGTGATGATAGCAGAGTGTCAGGGTCACTAAAACAGATACGCAACCTAAAGGGATGGGGTGGGGGGGATGGAGAAAAGTAAGTGAAAACCCGGGAGCATGTGAGATTGTTGAGCTCAGCTTTATAAACAGTGTCAGCATTTTCCATCCTTTGATCCTAAGCTAATGTGAAACAGGCATGACAACAAGGAGAATACGTCTTTCCTCCAGTGTACTGACTTGGAGTAAGGAGCTGTATTTGTAACTTAAACCAAAACTGGGGGTAGAGCTCACCATTCTCACAAACCCCTTGGCCTGTGTCTGAGGCCTATTCCTCAGTGAGACGAGTTTCACAGGGTCATCCCCAAAGCTCTTTGAAGGACAAGGTAGCTTCTAGCTCACCCTTCAAAACTGGGCTGGGCGGGAGGCTGGGACTTTCAGAGCCCTTCGGTCTCACCCATGAACCGAAGGGAGAGCAGCCTCAGGGTCTCCCAGCCTGATGTAGCCTTCAGATCCCAAGTTCAGGGCACAGGGACCAACCACATGGGTCAGTTCCTCGCTCCCTCTTGTGCTGGCAGAGACTCAGCTCTGGCCGCTACTCTACTGCCCCTTCTATTTCCTGGGAGACTCCTGGCTGCCACCATCTCAGGCACGCATCAGCTTCCACCAACCCTGTGCAAATTTCTGTTCAGCTTCCTGGGGCAGCACCCCACTAAGTTTTTCTTCTAGCAACCAACTATGGATAGACAGGTACACAGGAAACAGTCAGTCCCAGGACAAAAATGCTGTGAGCTTTAGTTCACAGAGCTGCCAGCCCTCAGAGCAGCGACCCTGACCAGTGTCCTACATACAGGTCAGGGGCTACAGCAACTTACAGAACACCACAAACATGCATGCGGTCTCATCAAAAACTCTCCTCATTAAAACACACATTTAAAAAGGGGATGTATGTGTGTGTGTGTTAAAATTAGTAATAAGAAAAGTGTGAGTGACCATATAATTATCACCAGGCTAAAGAGTTAAGTGCATCACTGGCATAAAGGCTCTTGTTATCCCAAGAATACAGGAACACTCACACGCACATCCACAAATTGTCAAGTTGTCTAACACCACGAATAGCAGGAAGCGTTTTCCTCAACTCTGACAAAAGAAACTAAGGCAAGAGATCAGCCACCAGGGAGGGTCCCAGCTCTGTTGCAGGAAGGGAGGGAGAGCATGGAGTTGGGCCAGACTTTTACTAGGAACCACAACGACCATCTAACAGAGGACACAGTGGTAAGAGACCCACTGATAAGATGGTGGATGGGGTTTGTCCTCAATTTAGGATGGCATCAGGGACTTGCCTGAGCTCAAAATGTCAAACCTGTCCCAGAGCAATGTTGACTAAAAAGGACCTTATCACCTAAGAGAGGCCAACAGCTCCCCCAACTGAATAAATGCTCCTTGAACAACAGAGTTGTAGCCACACCTGTGCTCTATGTAGGGCTCCTAGTAGATCTGGCCTAAGCATCAGTCCTGTTCTTTGTGTCAAGTCCACCAGGGGAGATATAGAAAGGCAGCCGGTGACACCCTCTATGCCTAGACGGAATATTTCAAACAAGGAAGTCATGGCTGCCTCCTTGAGGTCTCTGAAGATTCCAGGGTAGTAATAACGCTGCTTTTATGGCCTCAAAAATACCTATATAAGCTGGACAAAACACCCACGATGTAGTCCCATTCTCTGCTGCTTCTCCTCAGGGCACAGTCTGACCCTATTCCAGGACTGGGAGAGAGAAAACTCCATCCTCCTGTTTCAGCAGCAAAGAAGTGAGTTCGCCGAGAAAGGCCTGGCTCAGAAGCCCCAGAACTAAAACAAAATAAAACTGGAAATGATACTTGAGATGCAGCTGACGCCAGATCTGGTCCAAGTGGAGACGGCCATGAATGTCAGAAGGAATTGGGTCTCACCGTCCATTCCCCTGAAGAGGTACCAGAAGCTTCACATGTGACAGTTCTGATGGAAATTCCTGGTACTGACAAATTGTCACAACAGACTGGACCCCACCAACCTAACAAAGGTTGACTATACATGGACAGTAGACAGGTCATAAAAATAATAATGATGATAATAATAAAAAAAAAACCAAGTGTGGAAGGTCCTTAGAAAGGTGGCTCAGTTCTGCACTATGTGTAACCCTAGCCCCTAGAAAGAGCATTTTACGTGCTTTCTTCAGGTGGTCTCCAGGACGGTGGCCTCCAGGGCCAAGGCTTCGGTGGGCTCCTCCTCGTAGTCTGACATGTAGGACTCCAGGCTCTGCTTGGCCAGCAACTCCCGCCGGGCCTGCAGCCGCTCACAGCGGGGACAGCTTCCAGACTTGAAACAAGCTTTATGGTAGCACGCTTTACACTCTGTTCAGGTTGGAAGGGGAGAGAGAAGAGAACAGTTTGTATTATCTCAAGCTGGAAGCAAACACTGCCACAGCCCTGCTCACCACCATGGCTTGGTGCACCCGTGGTGTAACACAGGGAGTTGCTGAATCAAACCAAACTCTGCTGACAGGGGTGGCTGACGGGAAGTAAGTTAGCTTTGTGTTCCGTCTTGCTTGCCCACTCCACACCGGGCACCAGTCCTCACCTTCACAGGTCCGGCACTTGTGGAGCTCAAAGGGAAAGATGATGTCATCCTCATTCTGACAGAACTCACAGATGAAGCCCTTGGCTTGGCAGAGCTGGGGAGGAAAGGGACAGGCAGCAAAATGAGGCGAAGCACACCAGGAACTGGCACAAGAGGGTGAACGCAGTGATGGGAGGGCAAGATATAAATAAGACTCTAATTATTTCATCCATCCTCAAAAATACTAAGAGAAAAGGACATGGAGTACTTATTACTACCTTCATTTTAAAGACAAGAAAATCGAGGCTTGGCTCAGAGAGGACAAAGTATTTCCCTTGGTCACAGTGATGTAACTGTGATGGAAAATGATACAGCCAAGACCCAGTCCCTCTCCAGATTCTAATCCAGGGTTCTCCTCCCACATCATGACAATTCTTCACTGAAGGCCTGCTTAGTCCTGCCTGTTTTGCAGGAGAAATGCCAGCATCAAACCCTCTTCTAATTCTAGGTTCTTTAGATATGGATGATTTAGCTGTTCACCAACCCAAGGAAGAGCAATTCTGTCCAGTTTCTCTCACAGTGTTGACAGACCAATTCAAATTCTTGGGACTAAATGGCAAGAGCCCTGGATCCACCCTGCTCTTGATATCCCTAGGCAAGGGCTCAGCAGCCTGCCAGAGCAAGAGTTTCTTACCATGCATCGCTCTACGTGGGCAGCCCCTGCCCTGGTGAGCTCAGCCAGTCGGGGCCCCAGCTCCCCCTTCCTGGTCGAGGTCAGGTCATTGAGCGAGTATAGGTGGAGATCCTCTGTCAGGTGGCCTGGAACTGTGTCAAAGGAATCCAGAAGCCTACAGGAAATGAGGGGAAGTGGGTGGAAGCAAAGAATGAACACTGTGTGCGGCCCATCAGAGTAGAAGGATTTCTATCCAGAAGCACTATAGGGAAGGGAGGGCCCTAGGCAGAGGTGATGAGGGTGGGTAACACTCAGCCAGCCCAGGCCACCCCAACCCTCCACACTACCAAGCGTCTGGGTGGCGGAAGTGACTCTATGCCTTTCTGCAGAGTGATCTGTACCAGCATGCAGAGAGTGGTGGGCCTGCCCTGGATGGAATAACCATACATTTCCCCTTCCAGAGAGAAGGATGCAGGCATAGTTACTGCTGTGGGATTCTCACTTACTATTTCTAGAATTTTCTGCAAGATCCCCCTACTCTCCTTCATATAACAAGGGCCAACTGCTGGGACGTGTTTCTTTCAGAGACATTAACTCAGCCAAAGGCCTCTAACCTCCACACAAGACTTACTCTTTGGCCAGTCGGCATGTTTTGAACATGTTCTTCATGTGATACAGCTGGATGCGTAGTAGCTGAAGAGAAAGACATAGTAGTGGGTGAGGGTATGAAAAGGAGAGAAACAACCGTTAGGAAGCCCAGTCCACCTTTAAGCCCTGGGAGTCTGGAAGCTTTGCAAGTGGCAGCCTGAGCCCAGATGGTCCTCCATACCTGTAACTCAACAATTCCCTTCAAAGTTACCTCCTGTCACTCAGGGGAGGTCCCTCTGCTAGGTCATTCCACCCACACACACAGCTGAGAGCCACCGAGAAGTCCAGTATTCAAATGTCCCACCTGATACCCTATTCTCTGTTCAGTAATGTTTTCAGTGAAGGTAGAAATCCTGCCTTTGCCATCAAGTGCTACCTATAGCTTTGGAGCTGACTTGCCAGGTTTGAGACTCTAACTAAACAGATACCTCAAAAATGGCAAGAGAAAGTACACAGAGAGGGGGAGGGTATAGCTCAGTGGTAGAGTGCGTGCTTAGCACGTATGAGGTCCTGGGTTCAATCCCAGGTACCTCCATTAAAATAAATAAATAGACCTAATAATCTCCCCCCAAAATTAAACAAACAAAATAAGATTTGAGACATATAACCAATCAAAATATACAAACCTTAAAACAAAAAAAAAGAAAGTACACAGAGAAAGTGAGAATGATGGGATGGTTACAGCTCTGACATGGTGACAGAAGTGTGGTGATCTTCATAAAGCCTCTGTGAACAGAGGGAGGGGATGAGAAAGGTCATCTATGATGTAACCTTTTCAAGGGTCTTACCCGGACTTGATTGAGCAGCTTGACCTTCCTGTAGAGGGCGCTGTTGATGTCCTGCACATTGAAGAGAGGATCGTTCCAGATCTTAATGAGGAGGTCCTTAGAGAAATTGCTGACGTAGTACTTGCTGAAATCCCACTTGCGCAGGACGCGGCTGGGGATAACCATCTGGGCATTTTCGTGGCAGCACTGACAGAAGTACTTGCCCAAGTACTCACAGTACCGCAGCCGCTTGATGTAGTCTGGGAAAACAACAAAGTCAAAAGGTCAGATGTGCCTTTCCCATCTATGAGCTGGTGAGGCAGCTCTGCTGTTCCTTTTGAAAGGGGAGGAAGGGACGGCCGGTGGATTCCAGCCACCTCTGTTTGAGCTCCCAAAGCTGGCAGAGACCCACAGAGTGGGGCTTGTGATTTCTGTGTCCCAACCTGGAAGCCACGGAGGAAACAAACGCTGCCAGAGTTGGTAAGATCCAGCCTCTGAGAACCTGGCTGAAAGTACACAATTTTCTCCAGTATATGATCCTGGTAATGTGCTCCCAGGAATCATCTCCCTCTGATGGCCAGTGTTCTTGCCTAGTACCACCCCCTCCCCACCTCCAGGCTTTCCCCACCTCTTTCCCTTCCCCCACGTCATCTCCTCTTACTACCTCTCTGACCAGCCCCCTCGCCCAAGTGTGTGAGACGGTAGACCCCGGGAGGCAGTATGGAGGTCAGAGAAGATGCTCACCCGGGTCAGTCCGGATGCCACATCCTGCACAGCGGTAATTCTGCTTGGCCACAGCGATCTTCCTCCTGAGGAAACGGGAAGGAGAGGGGATTGGCAGATACCAGCTGCGTGAGGCCTCTAAGATGTAAAGGATGAGGATATAAACATAGGGCTCTTATAAACATGGGAAGAGAGGGGAATTCACCCTTTTTTTCTTTTTTTTTTAGAGTGAACAAAATGAACCTATTGGGAGAACCAATTCAAAGCAAGGATTGTAACGTTAGAATTTAGGTCTAGGAAGAAACTCTCCCCAATACATTTCTGTACAAATGTAAGAGATGAGAAATAATAAAGAGGAGAGGAGAGAACAAGAGGAAAGAAAAGCATCTATCCATCTTAAGAGTGAAAAAAGACCCAAAAAACAGCTCATAAAACTATTGGGAGGAAGGCAACAGGTTGGGAGGCCAATGATGAAAGACCTCATTTCTGGTTAGCTCTGGGAAGGAATGAGAGGACTAAAAGTAAACCTTGCAGGCAAGATGGATAATCCTTTCCCTCTGCCTTTTCAAACTGTGTGGGAGGTACAGCTGGAGGCAGAGACAAGAGGGTGCGGGGATAGCTCTGACAATCCAAAAGAACGTATCTGTTTTCCAAAGGGCATAGTCACTGACTACTCACGTTGGGGCTGGATGAACATTAAAAATGATCTGAGGCCGGGGAGGGGCCCACTCCAGATTGCCACGAACACGAATGCGCAGCTTATAGATGTCAGCATGCTGCCCGTCATCTGGCGAGATGGGCAGTGAGTCAGGGATGGGCAGGAGCTGCAGGAGAAAAGCACAGGGTGATCTAATATGGACAGTCTGGGGGAATACATATGCATGACTCTCCCAGCCAAGACAGAAGCATAATTAATGAAAGATATATCAGGAACACCAGAAGCAAGGGCTTCAGGGAACCTTGGCCCTCAAAATAAATGACAAGGCACCAGGCTACTAGAAGTGAAGGTCTTGGGTTCCAAGGCTCAAAAGGAACAGAAACAGCATCCCAGTGTGGTGGTACCCACTGCTAATGCTGTCCCTGAACCCATCCCGGGACCCTTGGTATGCCAGGGTGCCTCATGCTTTATTCAACTTCAGGTCAAAGAATAATCTGAATAGTCACTTTTCCAGTGTCTCAAAGGTGGTCACAACACAGGAATGCTGTCTCCCAGTCCAGTGAGCAGTCACGTGGAATAAGGCCAGTGAAGGAGCCATTAGCTCCTGTTCTGACAATTGCTAGGGAAAACGTAGGCAGGCATGCATGCAGTCGCTTATTCATTCCATACATTTGCAATGAATGGCTCCTGTGAGTTAGGAATGCAACACATAGGCTCATTCTAGACTGGGGACATGTGACAAAGGAGATCATATCAGAAAGGCTCAGTCTCCTGGGGCTGGACAGTGGGCGGAGGAAAGAGCTGAAGAACCCACCTTCTGAGGGGCATCGTGCTCTGGAACAAGCCATTCCAGCTCCGAGGCGGCTGGGAGCTGCATCCCCTCAAACTGCTTCAGGAGCCCCATGGCCACCGCCTCAGCAGATGTGGAGTGCAGGAAGGAGTGGGAGCTGAAAAGGAGAGATGCAGAAAGACTGAGCACAGAGAAAAGACAGGAGGACGGGAGCCCTCCCTCCAGAATGTGATACCACATACTGTGATTTCTGGGCTGAGAGAACACTCACAGCACCCCCAGTGTTCTAAGCCTCCTTTCCCATCATCTTCAGACACATGTGTATAGTGGGAAAAACACTGGTTTTACACTTCTGCGATTTAGCCTCAAATCCCACTTACTAGCATTACATGGCAACACTAGATAAGAATTCTGTATCGTATCCTTTTTCTAAATTTCAAATTTTTAAGTGCAAAATGGAGATGATAACACCTGTTTACAACGTAGAGTGAGTAAAACTGCTCTGCGGACTACAAAAACTGCTGCTGCTCCCACACGGGCTACTGTTTCCCTTGGTCACATCCACTGTGGGAGCTGTTCAGTCTGACCTCATAATCAGAAATCACGAAAATGATTATAAATCAATAAAAAATGTTAAAAAAAAAAGAAATCACGATCACTGTTCTCTCTTTTGAGCCTGACCTTAATTGGAGTTAGCAGAGAAGGAACAATCCACACTGCAAGCTTTGCCTCCACCAGAGCCCACCCCGTGTGAACCCATGATCTCTCTCCCCTTGGCTTATCACTGTCAAGCAGGACCATCACTTGGCCTCTCTGTGAATTCAGATGGCTTCACCCCAGAGCCTTTCCCACCCATATGCCAAGAACTGGGTTTGTTCCTCTACATATCCCTAAGGTTTTGTTTGTTTGATTGATTGATTGATTGACTTTTAAAGAGAAATACTTACAAGGACTGGGAGGAAATGAAGGATTTGCTGTTTGAGGGTGTGTTCCTTCTGATGTCAGCATCTAAATGAAAAGCAGAGTTAAGGGGCACAGGGAATGGAAAGGCTAGTAATGGAAACCATTCCAAGCTACTGGCAGCTAAGCACTCAGGGTAGCAGCTAGTGCTACGCTCTATGCAGGGTAAGGAGCAGAGTCCAGGTGAAGCTCTACATATGATTTATAGTCTGGCTCTGTTCAAGTCACAACCAGGCTGAATTAGCGACACTATGCACAGCACTGAGAAGGTCAAAGTGGCTACAAATCCAGGTGGAAACACAAACTCAGATTTGGTGCAAAACAGTGTAGGAGAAAAGGAAGCATCCTAAGGCACACAGGGACACACACCCTCTACCAAGCAGAAACACAAATTACTCCAACTTCTCCCTCATTCTCTAAATCTCAAGCCCTCTTAGATGATAAATTCTCAGAGGCAAGAAGTCTATCTGGTTTTTTTTATGTCAGAATGAGTGCCTAACACAGAATTTAGATCATGGACGTTATTCATTAAACGTATGTGGAATTGAAACTTTGCTTCTAATATTTGACCACTATTGCTATTCCTCCCGCGTGTGAGAAGTCTTCCATACCCTTAAAAAAGTTTCATGGAAAAATTTCCTTCCTGTGTGGTGGCACAGGAAAGAAAAGAATTTCTCGATGGCTTAGCAGCTCCCTGGAGGTAAACAACAAATTTTCATGGAGCTATTCAACATGACCTTTCCTATAGAACACAGGCATAATTACAGAAAACTATGGCAGACTTTCCAAAGCCTATTTCTAATAAAGAATTTTGAAGAAGATTTCTAATAATATGCCTGAATCTCCAGAGACCTCATCTACCCAAATACTTTTGATGAGGAGAATATGAAATACAGCAGTCACGTTCAAGAAAGGCAGACAGAGCCCATTCAAGTCATGAAAACAAGACTATTCTGCTAAGTCTCGCCCCTCACTTCCTTTGATGCCCACTGAAAAGACCTTTTTTTCTTAATTAAACCTACACAGTGATAATCTACTGCATTTATGCCCCTCATCAGAGTGCTAAGTGTATATGACATCACTCTGCATTTGGCGTGAGTAGCTCAATTGTTCCTATTTCCTGTGTATATACATACTTTTGTATGTACCATTAGATTACAATAGCTCCTTGTGAGGAAATGAGACTGTGTCTAATTCTTCTGCTTGGCCCTCAAATACTTAACACAATGCTCTGTTTACAAGTATATACTCAAATAATATTCCTAACAAGTCAATGCCTTCAAAGCTGTAAACCCAAGAAGAGAAGAGAACTGAAATCTGCCGGTGTTCAAGTGCTCTCTAAGCACAGAAAATCTTAGACAGCAACAAAATCTTTGACTAGTAAATAACAAATCCTATTTTATTTAACAGAGGAGTTCATGTATATCATATTTTCTGTCTGAATTTGCAGCACCCAAATCCAGTTCCCAATACACTGCTAGTTGTCTATTCCATTCTAAATAGTGCTAGCTAGTGGAAGGGGAAAAAAATCTAGGCAATAGAAGACTTTCATAGATGACTGGGTTTGCAACACCAATGTGAGTTAACACTAAACTGCCTTGGACTATACATAAGTCTTGCCTTGTCCTTATAACCCTCACTGTTTCTTACCCATAATAGGTTTTCAGAAAATATTTCCTAAATAAATGATTCATTAGCTTAAGAGTCAAAAGCAAATTTCAGCCTATTTGGAAGTGACAGATAAGGAAAAATGAGAGAAAATCTTAGACAGATATCCTTGAAAAAAGAGCTAACCAATGTAGTTACTTCAGGGCCAGGCTAGAAAAGAAAACACCACACCAGAGGGGTTAGGTAGTTGACAATTCATAATTGCTGAAAACCACTGTCTTCATAAAAACTATTTAGAAGTTCTTCATCCTCACAGAAAGGAAATCTTTTTTTTTTCTTTGAGAGGATAAAAACAGTCTCTCTTCTTTGGAAAGTAAAGTCATACTTCATTATGTTTCTTCTTTTTTTACCAGAGGTGCAATGACTTCCTAGCTCATTATGAATACTTCCAAGACTGTGGAAGAGTACACAGGTTTGGACGCCAGGATCTCACCCCAAGAGTGAAGAGGGAGAGGCAGAGCTTGATATCAAAAGAGACATGACACCTATCACTGGTCAGTACCATGACGGACCTGTGGGCACCAGGCCTCTGCTGCATCCCAATGACTCTCCAGTCAGTTCCAGCAGATGATTAAGCTAATGTGGCTGGAACACTAGTGGAGGATCTGGATAAAAGTAGATCAGGGCCTAAGATAATTAAGGAGTAAAAAGAGAAGAAAGCAACCCAACTGAGTGGATTAAATGTACACCAAATGGGAGCACTTTAGAAAGAAGTCTAAGAAGCTCTCCTTCCAAAGGGAAGTTAATATAATTATGAAAGTTCTTATCATTTCTTTGACAAGAACTGATTTCAAAGGCTTCTGATGCTTTAGACAGGACAAGGTTATTACTACTGACTAAAAAAAGTTTGAAGATAAAAAAACAAACAACAACAAAAATAATGACATGTTGAGTTTTTGCATGTCCAGACAATGGTATTGGGAAGATCAGAGAAAAATTGATTAAAACCCTGGAACTCTAGCAAAATCTGTACATTTTTAAACAAAATAAGTGAGGCATAAGAACAGAGTCAATTTCAGAATTTACAGGCTAATTTGATGTTGGTTTCTACCTTGTTTTTCTTTCAGCAGATAAGGTGATACCCAACACATTCAGAAATCCAACTCTAATGAATTTTCTGTAACTGCTGGCTCAAGAGGAAACACTTTAAAATGGAGAACCAAAATCATTCTTGTTTTAGAAGGAGACAAAAAAAATTTTAAAGGGGAAGGTGGTGAGGAGCAACTGATTACCTTGAACTGGATATAATTTAAAAACTTGTCATAAAATATAGTTCATGAACTTTCCTCTTTATATACTGTGCCAGTTATCAACTTATTGCCTTTCAACTCCAAACCTGCCATTCTTTGTGTTTACTCTGTGATAATGGAACTGGACTTGAAAACACTGATCTTTTACCAGCTGGCGTGATGTTAAGCTTCGTCGGTAGAGGGCACTGGAGGGACACTGGAAGACGAAGCGGTTTCTCTCGCTCGTTCTGGTGTATTCCTCCAGGCAGACTCCTGTAGTGCAAGTGGCTTTCCCCTGGGTAAGTATGGCTTCAGAAAGCCTTGCAGCAGAGCGGAGGGCCACTGGTGGTACTTCTCATAAATGGCTTCCCTTGGACCTCTTGGGAAAGTTTCACAGCAGGTGCTGCAGGCCTGGCACCTGTCAGGAACCACCTCCCCCAGTACCCCTTGAATTCTGAGGTATAACACTTCCCTTGGGGCAGCTCCTCTAGCACAGCAGAGAATGGCTTCCTGGTGAGGGCTGCTGGCATGGCACCTCTCATGAACAGGGTCCCCCGACACTCCCAGGGCAGTGCTACAGCTTCAGAGAACTTCACCGTCCAGTGAGCCAAGAGGTCTGGATCTCGGCCGTGGAGATACGGTCCTCTTCTACATTTGCTCCTTCCCTGGAGGCTCTATCTCAGCCCTAGGGATGGTGACTGCTGCCTGTACTGCTATTCCTGTATTCTTCAGAGTTCTCTTTACTCCTTATGAGCCAATCTCCCATTATTTCCATCCCCCGTTATAGTAAATTAAATTTTCCCTATTCAAATTATCATTTGGTTTCTATCTCTTGATTGGACACTGTCTAGATACATATGCAGAAGACTAAAATTCTAAAAGAAGGAAGATTGAAATTTTAGAAGAAAAGGATGAAGGGAGGGGAAAAAAGAACAATAAAACCCTAAAACTAAAGAAGTTGAAAAGACTGGAGTTGGGAGCCTATGAATAATTACGTATCAATTTGGCAGATAACCAGCAGAAGAAACAGATGAAGTGAAAGAAGCCAAACACAAAAGATCACGTACTGCATGACTGCATTTATATGAAATGTCCAGAAAAGGCAAATATACAGAGATAGAAAGCAGATCAGCAGTGGACTGGGGCTTGAGGAAGAAATGTAAATTAACTATAAATGGGCATGAGGGATCTTACTGGGGTGATGAAATGTTCTAAAACGATTACGGTGATGGTTGACAACTTGGTAAACTCACTAAAAATTAGTGAATTACACACTAAAGTGGGTGGCTTTTGATATGCAATTATTCCTTAGTAAAATTGTTTTTAAAAAAGGAAATAGATGTTAATGACTATGAAGTTTTCTATGAATAAGCTTTCTATGATCACAAGTTTATATCCACTTTACTGCTAAGAGAAAGTAACTTTCAAATCTGTTTCCTTCATAAACACTTCTAGTCCATAAGGTCTTCTTGATGAATTAGGATCTAAGAAAAATGATTATATTATGCAGCATATTACAGTTATACTGAGTATTTATCATAGACAATGTCCATACTATGAAGCTTAAGTAATTTTTCCAAGGATGCTATGGATTCTGACCTCCTCTAATATCATCCCAAGAGACTCTTCAATAGCATAAATCACTGAAAGTGATCAAAAAGAAAAGCGTCTGCAAAACTCTGGACATGATCAGGACACAATCAAGACATAATAAGAAGTACACTAACATTTTTAAGGAAGAATTTGGCGCCAGTAATAAATTTGATTCAAGACCAGAAACTGATGAAAAAAGAACAAAAAGCAATAAAGAAATCTAGAGTAGAGAAAGCTGAATTATATATCATACTTTCACAACTGGGAATCAGTGTGTAGAAAGAAAGGAAAAGTCACTATTTTGGAGAGAGGCTTGTTCTGATTGCTTTCCCTCCAAGCCCTCAAAATGTGTTGAGATTGTGGGTCACAAGAAAAAGCGGTTTTTCAGTTGAAAAATATTTCCTATTCTTGGTGTATAAAAAAGGCTTTAAAGCTCCCAAATTGGGGGGAAAAAGGATGCTAGGAAGACCAAAAAAAAGGAATGTCTTATGGTTAAAGCAGACTGACTGTGCTTTAACGGAGAAGTGGCTGACAATAAATGCACCTGCAAAGGACTGTAGTTGTAAACATATTAGAAACCAGTTTAAAAGAAGGGGGAGGGTATAGCTCAGTGATAGAGCATGGGCTTAGCATGCAGGAGGTCCTGGGTTCAATCCCCAGTACTTCCATTTAAAAAAATAAATACATTAAAAAAATACATAAATAAACCTAATTAACCCCCCCAAAAAACAAAAAAAAAAGTAACTTAGGATTGTTACTTCTCAAGCAAGGAGAGACTGTTAGAATAAATTGCAACAGTTCAAAAGTAGAGAAAAAGGCACCCAATTACTTTTATTTCTCTAAAGCTTGATTGAATCTTATACGTATAATTATTTCAAATTCTAGTGGCTGACAATATTAAGTTAAAATTAACTGTTAATTAAAATCTAAAATTAATAAAATAATTAACTCTTAATCAAATGAATAAATGTCCTCAGCTTTATTGTTTGTGTATGTTAAAGCCACTTTACTCAGAAACCTTCTACTTTCTTTCAGTTGACCCCACCTACAGAAAGCCTACTTGTTTGGATCACAAAGCAGTTACTAAGTCCAAACATCTGCAGCAATAAATCCTAACTGTATATAAAGTACATAGAAGAGACAGCTTTCTGAAAGTTGTCTCTGCAAATTCAAAACTCTAAAGAGACACTAAACTTCATACCATTCTGTCTAACTTTTGCTGTCTGAATGTAACTTAGCTATAGGTTTGAACTGAAATTTCTTCACTTGACCATTCCTTTCTAAACTGTACACTACCTCCATCAGCCACAATGACCACCGAATCTGTAAGTATCACTGTAGGGAAGGATCAACAAGGACCATCTCAGTGAGGGGGGTTGCTGGGGTCATATGAGGAAGAAAATGAGTATCTGAATGTTCCTGGCCGGCTTAAGTCCAGTTTTCCCTAGATAGTTCTCCAGACCCTGTAGTCCTCATAATTCTGACAGGTGTCACACAATACAGTATACACAAAAGCTGGTACAAACATTCACACACATGCATGTATGAGCACACCCACACTTCCAACACAAGCTACCTGAAAACATCGAGGCCATTGACACTGAGAGTCCATTCTTTGACATGTGAGTCAGGTTAGATCCTTCGCTACCATCTGTGTAATAATGGTTATAAAAAGGGGCCCTTTAGTATTCAGACAAAAAGTAAATTGATGAGAATGACAGTTCCATACCACATGTTTCTGGAATTAAGACAGGCTGGGACCTGGGACCCTTTGCTGCAGTGCTCACACTAGGACCCAGGAACAAAATGCAAAGAAACTGTAAGGGGCTAAAAATAACTGCATGCATGCTCAGTTGGAGCCAATCAGGAACAATTAAGATACAGAAAGACCAAAAACCCAATTGCCATTTCTGAGGTGTCAGGAACAGAAGCAGGGTACTGCACATGATCCTTGCACACAGCACCACCAAGGGGGTGGGCAGATCACCTAAGCCACTCCTCCAGCTTGACCCCTGACCTGCCGCTATGCTACCCTCTCCTCATTTAAGAGACCAACTTGCCCCCACTCAGGGAGCAAACAAGGGCACCTGTTACTTGTTTTCGCTCCTTCATGCTATAGCCTGAGTCCCAGTAAAGACTTGCCTGATTTTCTCATCTGGTCTCTTATCAATTTCTATTAAGGAGACCAAGAACCCTGGTTGGTAACAATAGGAATGTCTTTTGTTATTCATAATGAGCCCCTTTCCATTGTATCTGAGTTTAAGCTAATGAGATGACTCATGAGGGCACCCAGATAGCTCAGGATGGGGCTGGTTGCCAGAAGAAAAACCTATTAGATGATTAGAACTTTCAGCCCCACCCCAAGAGGGAAGAGGGGCTGGAGACTGGATTCAATCACCAATGGCCAATGATTTAATCACTCGTGCCCACATAATGAGCCTCAATAATGATGAGGTTTGGGAGGACCCCCTGGTTGGTGAACACATAGATGTACTGGGAGAGTGGTACATCCTGACTCTGTGGAGACGAGGTTCCTATGCTCAGGACACTTTGGGACCTTGCCCTATGTACTTCCTTTTCATGTGGCTTTTCATTTGTATCCTTTGTAATAAACTGTAATGATAAGTACAGTGCTTTCCTGAGTTCAGTGAGTCATTCTAGTGAGTTACCAAACCTGAGTGGGGAGTTGTGGGAATCCCTGGGTTTGTAGTTGGCCAGGGAGAAATGCAGGCAGCCTGGTGTCCCCATTTGTGGCTGGCATCTAAAGAGGGAGCAGTCTTGTGGGACTGACCCCTTAATCTGTTGGGTCTATGCTAACTCCAGAAGTTAGTGTCAGAACTGAACCGTAGGACACTCAGTTGGTGTCAAAGAATTGGAGAATTGTTGGAAAACCACATGCAAGGAAAAACAGTGGAGTTTTAAGTGACTATTATTGTTATGAATAGAAATCAGATGCATTAAGGAGAACACAGAAGGAAAACTTCTTGGAGACCTGGAAAAATATGTGTAAAAATGGTATTTCTGTTTGTGGAAGACACTCAGCCACCACACCTGGGGCTGTTAGAGCCTCATGCAATAAAGATCTATTCATCATCATGTCACAATGGAGTGCTACATATACAATTGACCTCTGTGAGAAATTCACTCTTGGTTCCATCCACTGGGGAGGAGCTTATGTCCCTGAGGTGTTCACTCGGTTTTTCCTGTGTTCATTTGTTGGTTGCACTGATAGGAAGTTGAAGAACTCTATGATGTTTCAGGAATGGATTAAGCCATTAATCATGGGTTAACCTGATTTAACCCAACTGCCTTTCCAGGTAAGAGCCCCTCCCCTTCTCCTCCCCTTCTCCAGGCAGATACTCACAAGAGTCTGTGATTCTGCCAAGCAAGTTAGCACTGGTAGGATAGAAAACAAAGGTAAACTTGATTTTTTTTTTCCCTTTTTGCTCTCCCCCCCCCAGCTAATGACTCTTTTTGTCCTTTTCTCTTACGATTATAATAAAGCTCCTTTTAAACACTTTGAAATAATTTCAGCTGTGTCATGGAACATAAGAGAATAGGATTCTAATTTCACGTAGGTGTGGGCCAGCTCTGGAGTGTTAGCAGGAGGAACTGGAGTGAGAATCCCAGAGAAGGTGCAACTGAGGAAGAATTAGTGAGGTGACTTCAATAGCGAGCCCCTCCACTGGAACACTTCCTTCCAGTGTTCTCTTCTGCTTAAGTTTTAAATGGGGTTTATTTTTAACAAGAGAAATTATCCTTTAAAATAGCTGGCAACATTCTATAATGAACCATACTGAAGACCATCTAGAGTCTTGGGAAAGCTTCTCAGCCTGTGATTCCAAATTGAAAGAAACAGTTAATGAAAGTTCCCCTGAAACAGAGTGTTAATTTGTACCTTGGATTTCAAATTCATCAACCTCATCAGCAGAGCCAGAGTCGGAGAACTGTGCTGAATCACGTGAACTGAACTGGGAGCTGCTGGAAGTGACCCGGAAGCCTGTTACGTTAAATAAAAAAATAAATAAACAGGATAAAAGAGGTCTCCTACTCTTTCTAGGGTCACAACAAAAGGGACCTGGTATGACTTCAACAAAAAAGTAAATAGAACCTTGGCTGGGATTTATGCTGGGGAAATGGAAACTGGCTCTTCTTGTTAGATCCTCTTCTTGTTTGAGCTCCTTAAAAGTTTCATGTAAACAAGGGGGAAGGTATAGCTCAGTGGTAGAGTGCGTGATTTGCATGCATCAGGTCCTGGGTTCAATCCCTAGTACCTCTATTAAAGATAAATAAATAAGTAAAAACCTAATCCCCACCCCCATTTTTTTTTTTAATTTCAAAAGTTTCATTTAAACAGAAAGCACTACTCTTTGGGAAGTGAATCTGGGACCAGTGGTCTTAGTTCTCCTCATATCAGAAAACCTATTTTTTTTTTTCTTTTGGAAGATATTCCTGAGGTAGGAAATGGATGAACTCTAAGACTCTGTGGTCTGTTAGGAAAAAAAATAATAATAAAACAACATACAAAATCCTTCTGACAGCAGAGGAACCCCTGGGTATAACACCTCAAGTGAAGACAAGAAAGCAAGCCCTCGAGGCACCAAGTCTTATCCTGTAGCCCTGAAGCAACGGGAACAGAGGTGTTCACAGCCTCACTCACTTCCGTGCTCAGTCTCCTGGTACACAGGGAGCAGATTCTTGGTGCGGATCTGCTGGCGACGAAGGCGGATCTTCTGCTTCAGTTCCTGGATCTCCCTGTCACTGTCCTCTTCCCCCTCCTCCTCCTCTAGGCACTGGCTCATCATGTTGCACTTCATCAGCTCAATGGCAGCAATCAAGGACTCTGAGATGCTGAAGTGGGCATTCTCCTGGGGGAAGGAGCGCACAAAGAAGTGAACACCTCACTGACTGTACTGCTGGGAAGTAGCTTCCAAGAACTGCACTGCTTTTATTTGAAGCACACTTCCACTGTAAGGAAAGCTAATGGCCAGAAAACCCGCTCTACATTCTCTTTGCTCTTGTATCTGGCCACGCCTGGCTTCCTGTCCCACTTCCCACATAAAAATATAACACAGAAGAAGTTGGGTCTTTCCTAAAGCCATACACTATACACAAAGTATTAAGGTAAACATGATGTCTCAAGATGAAGTGCTTTGTAAGCTATAAAATGCTATAGGGACATTATTTATTATATACCTTAGCCTTCGAACAAAATACAAATGTTGATTCTGGAGAGAGTCTTCACCTAAGGTTCCAGAGTCAAGGAAACAGTAACTATGTGACTAATATTCAATGTTTCTCTGCCCAAGGTAGTTTCTAAGACAAAATCAGTAATATTTTTTAACTCAATGAGGTGCATAGGCTCCCTGAAGAGCTTTCCAGAGAAAGAATGTGTTGACTTACCTATACCGGAGTCTACACTCACGTTGCTGCTGTGTACTCAGAAACCTCTTTAGAACAAATGGCATGTCAGCCCTTCAGGCCAGATCTCCCAACTCACGGGCTTTTCAGTAGCTCCTTACAGTCCTCACCTTTTCCAGGTCTGCACAGCTGCCAAAGTCTTGCTCAGACAGGTAGCTGATGAGGGACTGTCCTTCTGAAGGTCTTCTGAACATGCCTTCTCCTGAGCACAGGTACTGACTGCCCTCTGCGGGAAAATGGAAAATGGAAAATGGATGTGAAAAGGTGACTTGAAAAGCAAGTCTTCTTTACAGCCAAGCGTCTTTGAGAAGCCTCTATACTAAAGATGCTCCCAAGTCTTCTCAGGTAACAGGCTAGAAAGACATCTACCTTCTAGAGGGATTTCTCTGAATCTCAGAATCCCAGAGCACTAAGCCTCTGGGTTAGAGATAGTAGAATAAATGGAAAGAGACTGGAGACAATCCTTTGACCACCTAAATTTAAAGATGACACACTTGTCCTCCTACGCCACAAAAAAGAAAACAAAAAACCTGTGCTGAGAGTCACATAAGGAAACAAATGGCTTCCTCCTATGTATGATTTCCTCCATGTGGGGCTTATCTTCTGGTAATTAAGCCCAGACACTCAAAGGTCTGTTTTCAAGGTCCCTCTCACCCACTCAGAGCCATTCCACCTGGCTCACCAGACATTCACAGTGATAACACCCATAGCATAAGAGAGGGTGGGACCCCTAAGGCAGAGAGGAGCAAGAGAAATGGCGGGGCAGTGTGATTTCTAGCACAGGGGTTGAAAATGATGAAAGGGAGGGTGAGACTGTACAGTGTGTACCGTCCACAGAGCTAAGACGAGCCACACAGCTCAGAGCATGGCGGGCACAAGGGGAACAGAGAAAAGACACAACTGCAGCTCTGGCCTTCCTAGCACTCACTTACCATACTCCAGGTACAGAGAGCTGGGTGTGCTGAATTCACTGCTTTGACCAGAGTAGGACAAGGGGCCTCTCAACTTCGACTTATCACTGCAGGATTCTAGTGTCAGTGGCCACCAAAGAGTAAAAACACACATACGAGGTGAGCAACACATACATTCCCAACTTTGGAGTTTCAACATTTAACTGCTCCCATCCCCAATGCCCTCCCAGACAGGAGAGAGGTGGCACACCAACAGGGAAGAGTCCAAAAATGCAGGAACACATGGAGGAAAGGAGATGGAAAGTCAGTATACTCTAAGGGGAAAAGAGAAAACATTGCCCAGAATGCAGCAACACAAAGGTGAAAAAGGATCAAATCAAAGTGGACTCATGAATTTAGTTCTTCTTCCATCTTCCTGCCAAATGTTCCAGGAATATCAGCCAACTTCTACCCTCCTGAGAAACCAATTTAGAAGAGTCTGCACATAGCAAAACAAAGAAAAGCACATTGAAACTTTTCTGATACCTTGACACTAGATTTTAAAACAGTATCAGAAGAGTTAAACTCACTAAGAAAACACTAGGATGTGGCCTCTCTCAAACTTGAAATGTAAATTTGTCATATCTACAAATTTAATCCACTTTTGAATTGGCAGACCAACAAAATAACACCCAGCAATGTCCTTAAAAGGAGTATCAAGACAATGCCAGAGAAGCCAAGGATGATGTCCTTGTAACCAAAAGGTTCAGCCACAGGAAACCAGCCTTCCTCGGGAAGGAAAGGAGAGGTTTCAAGAGAAGCCTATCAAAGTAGGAAGTGCCTGGGTAGAAGTTTTCAAGGAGCAGTGAGAGTTGACAGTAGAGGAATGGAGCAAGCATGGTTTGCAGGAAATGGAAACTGATATTCTCCAAAGGGAAACAGAAAATTTCCAATGCCACAGAAGCAAGAGCAGGCAGAAAAGCAGGTGGGTGCCTGCGAAATGAGCAGGATGCTCTGGGAGAATGAATGATTGAGCAGCATTCAACCCATTTCCCTGACAGATGATGCCAACTTGTCAGCTGCTCCTCTCACTAACAATGCCACTATATGGTAAGTGATAACTCTGTGTTCTCCTCGTGGCCCTGGCAGTGGGCTCTGCTCCTCACTACAAACCAGCAGTCATTGTGATGTCTTGGACGGGACATTTGAAGACCTCTGAAGACCTTTGAAGACCCTGGTCAAACTCAGTGCACAACACAAACTCCAACACCAGGACCCTACTCCTTTACAACACGTACAGGCCTTCCAGCCTTTGCTCACTGAGCTCACTACCTCCTGACGCTGCCCATTCAAGTGATCAGCTCTAATTCTTAAAATTTCCTCATACTGACTTGAAGTCTGTCTTCTTACAATTTCTCATCTCCTTAAGAATAACAACACTCTTCTAAACGAAGGTCTCACAGACTTGTTCCTCTTTAACTTCTTTTCCAAGCTAACACACCCAGTGGCTTCGCCCATTACCAGGAGGCCAGTTTTCGGTCCTCTCTCACCACTGTCTGGCAGACACATTCTAGTGCCAGTATCTCCATGCATTACCAGAATGGAACACAATATTCAGTTTGGATACCACTGTGAGAACGAAAGGAACAGACTTAGGTCGCTAGAAAAATCTTGTGCAATGGCTGGAATGAGGGGTTGAGGGAAAAATTTACAGGGGAAGGAAGATAGGTGAGAGAAAAAGCGAATAGAGGACTCCAGGAGGGGCAAAATACATGCACTCATATCCAAGACCATGGAAAGGGGAGAAAATACATTCTGGTGTTAATTCAAGGAAAATACAGTAACCCATAGTAAGTAATCAGTTATAAGAAAAATTCTGCCACTGATTCATCATGATGCCTTAAACAAAGAGCAGGCATCAGTTTCACCTTTGGGCAACACAGGATTGATAAACCTTGACTTGACCTCCCAGAAGCTGTTGAGAGACTGAATGAGGTATTTCAAAGTTGTGGGCAGAAAACATATCATGCAAAATATTGGTACCATTTTACAGACAGGTCCAAGCATCACCACAGGACCAGACTGGCCAGGCTTGATTTGACACCAGAATGGAAAAGGAAGTTCTGGGCTAAGCCAGATGGTCACAGGGGAGCAGAAGGAGGAGGGGGATGGTGGACAGAAAGGAGGAGGACTAACTCCCAAACCTGCAATGGGATCTTCAACTATAATGGTGATATTCCTGGGGCCTCCTGTATGCAGACAGACAGGTGCAGAGGAGAGTCCAGAAAAACGAGAACAGAAAGAGTGAGAAAAAGAGTGTCCTTTTATCTAGCAAAAGTGGGGACTTAACTCCTGAGGGGGAACCTAGTAGAGGGGGAGATGACTCGTACGAGAAGCTGCACGTGATCCACCCTCCCTCAGATCCTTCTGCTTAGGTTTTCTCTGGCTTCCCTTTCCAATGCAGGTTACCGTGGTTTCTGGAATCCACAAGGATTCAAGAATTGGGGCAGGGAAGTTTTCCATGCTCAAACACCAGTGGCCTGGGGTACAGCAGACACCAGGCCTCCCCAGGAGATGTGAAGTAAGGGTTTAACCCAAACACTCTTCACATCTAAGAAAGCTTGTGGGAAGTCAGGCTTTGATTTAGAGATTTTTTTTTCCCCTAAACAGTTCCAATGAGCCAAACCACATTCTTGGGGGAAAACACAGACAACAGTTTGCAATTCAGAAGTTTCAGATGAGGGCCTCAGCTCTCACCTTTTTAGAAATTACAGAGAGAAATCAATAGTAGCTCTGGTTGTGAAGGGAAATCTCCCTTTTTTGATCTTAACCTTTTATATTATATGTTTATATTTTATTTCTGAGGCTTTTCCACCCAGAGCTGGCTGTGAGCACAAAGGACCATGTTCCACTTGCTTTCATGGAGATTCTCTTACAAATGAAACTCAACCAAAGCCTGCCAGACACCGACAACCCAGGAAAGATGATGGCGGGGAGATGGCAAAAGCAATGAGACCCACCTCTGCCGTGCCTACGGCACTCTCTGCTGGCAGCTGATGTTCGTGTGAGGGAGGTCCCAGTGGCCAGGGCCACCTTACCTGACTGCCTTTCAATGTGAATTCGCGATGCAGCAGTCAGCCCCACCTCCTTGTTTACTGGGTCACATCACCCCACTCTCTGTATCTCCACAAGGAAACCCTAATGTTGCTTTGCCTCTCTTATGTTGTTATTACACTCTGACCAAACTTCTTAGGCATCACAGGGAGGGGAGGAATTTAATGGGATTATTTCTAAAGCTCAATAGTACTTCCCCTCTGCCTGAAAGATGCATTTAAAACTCCAACTGTGATTAGTCACACTATCCTCTGATGCTAAAGAATTAGTGAAAGAATCCAGGAAAGCATTTACTATTTAGTAAAGGAACAAACATAAATGTTCTCAGAGAGATGTCTTGGGTATCCGTATTACATTATAAACTTCTCTCTTTCATTATAAGCAGGATACCCATCATATCATCAGAAACGTAACTTCTCTTTCTGCCATTTGAAGATCCTTAAGAACAAACTCTCCCCTTGTACCCTAAATTCAGGAGGCTACCTTACTAACCAGGGGTTGGTGATTATTATTACCTGGGGTTCCTCTGGAAGCAATGTTTGTATCTGAATGGGAGCGAGTATGGCTCTTCTTCGTTCCACCAGTGGCGGTGAGAGTTTGCCCCTCTGAGAAGCTAGACCTGCGAAGGACACTGGACAATTGGCTCTGCCCACCTCCCTCTTGGTCCCCTAGGGAGGAAGCAGCAGAATCTGGCTTCTGGGAGCTGCTGGAGGAGAACAAATTGGAGCTGCTACTCTCAGCATTGCTGCTGTGACTCTGGCAGCTGGCGGTCCGGCCTCGGGGGTCCAGATTGCCGATGGCCAAGTACTCAGGCCCCTCACTGGCATCACTTGGGGAATCATTCTGGCTGCTGACCCAGGATGCTTCTAAGGGGCTGGTCAGAGTGCTGGAGCTCATCTCATTTGGGGTTGAGGGGGAGTCCCTGGCTAATGCAGAGACTGGAGGCAGAGGGGCTTGGATGCTTTGATCCTCTGCTGGTGAGACATGCCCTCTGCTTTCTTGAGGTTTCCGGGGAGGGCCAGAGAGTGAAAAGGAAGTAGATCTTCTTTCTAGGATATAAAAAGAAAGGGAAGGAAAGGTGAGCTGGAAGCCTTGGGTACATGTGAAGGGCTTCTCCACAACTAAGGACCAAACTCCTTATCACTACTGGTGCCCAGGACATATGGTGGCACCTCAGAAAACGTTAAATCATTCAAGGTAAGTAAAAAATTACTTAGAAGTAGCTAAGCCAAAAGCGTGAGCTCTTGAGACTGTGGCTTCATTGCTTATTAGCATGCATTCCTTATCTGTAAAATGAGCAATAATAACATTTACCTCATAGGACTGTTTTGAGGATCAAATAAGATAATACATACAAATTGATTACAACAGAGCCTGGCACATGGTAAGCACCGAATAAATGTTAGCTATTATTACTGCAATGCCTTCTTGGCAATGTGGATTAGAAACCCAGAGGAATCTAAAAACACCTTTTTCCTTCGTTATTCTAATGTTTCTTCTGAACTGTCTTAGGCTAGTCGCTATATACCTCTTTAGGATTTTTCATATTAAGACATGAAGTTTGACAAAGTGCACCAACCCAAGGCTCCATCTATAGCCAGCCTGTGAGCACTCATGAAGTCCTCTGCTTTCCAGGGCTGGGGATACATGTCTTGCTACTCCTTGGTGCCCCCATACCTGAGCCGTGGTTGGGCATGGACTGGTGGAGGCTGGAGAAGGACCCAAAGTAGGAATGTTGAGCGTAGCTGGTTGAAGGGGTATATGTGGATCCAGGCAGAGCTGTCAGGCTCTGGCTCTTGGTCACCAGCAGCGGGCTCTCTTGCTTTCTAGCAAACTACAAAAAAACACATGTCAGAGTCAAGGATAGAGGCCCTCAGAGGAGAAGCACTTAGCATGACAGAAATGCTGGTAGAAACTGGCCTTTGGCAGCAGGCTTGAACTGCCGCCAAAGCCTGTGGATACAGCATAGCTACCCTCTATCACAGCATGCAACGTCCTGCCATATACCGCAGCTTCTGCCACTGGAGTCCTAGGTGGTCACACCAGAAGTGCTTTATCATGAAGGCAGTACAGCAAAGTGCTTAAGACTGCACATGGAGTTAGAAGTTGGATACACTGGGGCTTAAATCCAGGCCCTATTGCTTATCCAAGCTATTTGGTCCATACTGTAGGCAAGTGACTTATCTACCCTGGCCCTCTGTGGCCTCCTTTGTAAAATAAGATTAATGCCTACTTTGTAGAGTCATGCGGATTAAATGAGATGATGCATGTATTGAGCATGGCTCCATGACTGGCACATAGAAAGTATTCAATTAGGTGGTAAGCAAGAATCAAAATTTAAAAACCAGGAGAGACTGGTGATTGCTCCACAAAAGAAATAGGGACTGTGATTCCACTCTAGCTGAGGCACTGATATTAGTGATGGGATGAATGAATTGGAGAGGTAGCAATAAGCAACATAAACAACAAAATTTTCTTTATATTTTGAGGACAAAAATGATGCTGCATAACATTAGGCCACACTAGGTCTGATGCTCTATCTATAGCCAGCCTGATTCAAAATCACCCCTCTTTTCCCCAGCTCTTTGTCAAGCCCGCCCTTAAGGAGGTGCTTACTCAAACTAAGGAGGACGGATTAAAAAAAAATAGACACCTCCTTCCTCAGACAGACATAAGTTTACTTACAAATGGACTTTTTACTTTAATAGGTATTTAATGGTAAGTTAAATACCTCCTCTTTTCTAAGTTTTTCTTTTTTTAATGAAAGTCATTCAGTTCACAGTTGCCTAAGTGAAGCAGTCTGCTACCGAGGGTTACATCATGGTGAGGTCTAGGAGGTCAGCACACAGACACAGATAATTCTTTGCCCCTTTTACCATAGATACATCGATCTGAGCCAGGAGGCGAGGGTTGTTCTGTTCCACTGCTTCTAGGCACTGGAGCATGGCCGTGACGTGGGCATCGCTTAGCAGGAAAGCAGTATCTGGGGAGAGAAAACTCCCACAGTGATGGAGCCTAAGAGGGAGAATTTTAGCCTCCCTGCATGGCTCTGGGAGAAGCTCAGGGAAGGAGAAAGGGAAAAGGTAAAAATGACTTGAGGAGAATCATACCACTGTGGACAGAAGGGGAAGTAGGGACAAATAACATACAGAAGAGGCTGAGTAATGAGTGGTATAGTGGAGAGGCCGTGACCAGAGGCCTCAAAATCAGAAAGACCCAGATTTGAATTCTGCCTCTGGGTAACTTTGGCCAAGTCACCTAACCTCCTTGAGCTCTGCATCCCTGACTGGAAAACAAGGATATTAATACCCTACTCTCAAGGCTGCTGTTAAGTGTATATGTATAAAAAAAATTTATAACACTGACTGGAACACAGGAAACTCTACATAAATAGCAGTTATTTTTATTTATTTGTGTGTATGGGAGTAGGGAAGTACCTTAGCGTGAAGTTTGATGGTGCTTTACATAGGTTAGAGAGAAGACTGGACACATGTTTCTGATCAGAATCTCTAAGGCATCAAGTGAAAGTATGAGACCCTGGGGTAAGAGTGTGTCTGTAAAGCAAGAGTAAATAAAGTGGGAGAGAATGAGAAAGTACATGCAACAAGACTGGCTAAGCGACCTCCACCTACCTGTGTAGAATTTTCTGATATACTGTCTGTCCCCCAGCAGAGGTCGGAGCTGGGCTGAGAGGCAGTGGCACTGCAAGCTATGCTGCAGCCACAGCTCTGCCACGGCTCGCTCACTCACGCCATCAGTGCTGCTCTGGCCGTTCTCATGCAAGTTGATGAACTGAGGGGCAAAGAGGCATGAGTTAAAACACACAACCTGGTAAATCCAGCAAGATCGGGGCCTAAGGACCTGAGAATTAAACTGAGACAGGTAAGAGGAGGCACTCAGAGGTATTTTCCCTCCAGGTAGCATCTGGAGGTTATAGAGGGAGGAGAGGGAATGAAGGGATTGATGGCTCCACTGCTGGACTGGGCCACTGGAAAGGGGCTGAGCAGTTACGACCTGATACGCAGCTCCTGCCAAGGGCAAAGCTGCTACAACCATCTCTTCATGTTCTAACTCCAAACAGGCATCTATTCTGGGGTATTTAGAGGAAGAATGAACTTGACCTCTTGGCTTCCCGCAGAGTCTTCTATAGCAGGTACCCCAGAAAAGATTGCAAGAAAAATATGGGGGAAAAAAATCTACGAAAAATGCCACTAAAGATTCTTCACCAAAGAGAAACCATCTGAGAGCCTCTTGTTGCCTCTAGTCACAACATTCTCTTTTTGGCACTTCCTTCTATTGGCTATTTCTAAAAGCCAAGTCTCATAGCCCAGGATCAGTGCAAAATGTGTGGATGGCAATTTCAGGCAGTTTCTAAGAGGAAATGACTAGAGCAAAATATTCTAGAAAAGAAAGAGGAGGGGGTTGGTGGGAAAAATAAAGTGATAAGGACAAAAAAAATCTACGTAAGAAAAACCACAAGGCCAGAGTGACACCTTGTGATTTGGTTCCCGGATCATTTAAAAACAGTATTTTTCCTGATATCATCTCAGTAATGAATCTGGCAGTGGGTAGAGTTTACATGAAATAAGACTGGCCATGAATCAATAACTATAGAAGATGGGTTATGGATATTTGAGGGTTTATTACATTATTCTAATTTTGAATATATTAGCAAATAAAGAATTAAATAAGCAGATAATTTGGTGGTGATTGATCTGGAACTAGCTGTATAACTCCAGCCAAGTCTCCTAACCTCCTTGAGCTCTGTTTTCCTGGTTGGAAATCGGGGGTGATACGCTGAGCTGAGAGGACAGGAGAGGAGAGTGCTATAACAGTATCTAAAGTTGTAAGGAACATGTTTGGCTCCATTTCACACTGGCCTCCGGAAGCCTCACTTTTCTTTCTATTTGGTGCATCCTCTTCTTCTTAAATAGTTGTCAGCCTATCAGTCCTACTTCCCCCAATCATTCAGGAAACTTCTTGCCATTTGCCCTGGATTTTGAAAAACTTCACTCTGGTCCCATATTTGCAAATCTTTCGAAAAGAACAAAACTTTTTCATGCCTTCCCCAGAGGATGGAAAGTGGCTTAGAGCAATGGGTTTGAAAGGTTTATTTTGGGGGCAGGGGGGTAATTAGGTTTACTTATTAGTATTTTTTAGAGGAGGTACTGGGGATTGAGCCCAGGACCTTGTGCATGCTAAGCATGCGCTCTGCCACTTGAGCTATACCCTACCCCCGTAAGGTTTATTTTTTTAAAGCAAATCATACTCCCCTCCAAATAAGTCCTATCTGTCTATTATCCAGTTAATAGGAAACTTGACATACACCATCTTTCTAGCCTAGGAGACTCTTCATCAAAAAACGAAGCCTTATGGCCACCGTCATTTACCTTCTCCACATGAAGGGCTGAGTGGGGACTGAGCCAACGGATGTCCTTCACAAATTGCCAGTAATCAGTCTGGCGACAACACATCTGCTTTGGGAACACATAAGGTAAATAAATCATTACCATTTTGGACCACATCTAGTTCTACTGCTGACTTTCAAAGTGAGGAAAAAGAAAAGCATAGCCTCCCCATGCCTCAACAAAGGTTCTTAGCAGCAATCACAGGAATACATACAAATGTTCACTCTTAATGGATAACTGTTAAAAGTTATTTTGATCATTCTTTTGAGCAGATACTACATGCATATGATACAGAAGGTTACATAGTTGATTCCTGAACAACACAGGTTTGAACTTTT